ACAAAACCTGAAGGTAACGTTTAGTAGTAGATATGCAAACTTCCTTATCTGCATCCTTGATGAATCGGGCATCTTCTTCAAGAAGAACGCATCCACAACTGCATTTCCTTGTCCTATACTACGACGTAATGTCTTAGTAGTCACGGCTTGGTTCGACTTACTTCGGCTCTAGTGTAATGTTAATGAAGCTTCGAATGAAATACGGGTCTTGCACGAGACACCCTGGTGCCTATGTTCCGTATCGCATCCTCTCGCTGTTGGATGCCTCAATGCACTTACTACACGTCTGCGAATTCGTTGAACTTCGACTATCCGATTGTGCATTCGCGCGTGCTGAAAACCATGAAGCATTAATTAAGGTAAGCAAATCGTGGTAGTGTTAGGAAGCCTGTTTGTGTTACGTGGAAAATGTATTCATCGATTAGGAATTAATGCATGCATGCATTTGTTTTGTGTTGCAATGTACTTAATTATATCTATCATTTTGATTCGTATAAATATATAAAAAAAAATTGCTAAAGACAGAATAATATTTTATAGCAATAAAAATAATTTCTATCGTATAAATTAATTTTTATTAAATTTAATAAATTAAATTATTTTAACTTATTAAATTAATTTAATAAATTTAATTTAATATATTAATAAATATCTCAAACATAAAAGATCAAGGCATTGCAAATTTTAATCAACATCTTCTATAACTACTACACACGTATATATATATACATTAGGTATAGGTATGTAAGTGATTTAATCTTATCAATCTAATCCTCAAGTCCAAAGTACCTTCAATTCTTTAACGAATCGATAATTATCGGTAAAACTTTCAAAGATATCTTTGAAAGAACCTGGGAAAATCGAAAAAGAGAAAGAGAAGAAAATAGAGAGCAAACAGGAAAAAACAAGATCGCCTCTTTCTATTTCCTTCCCTTTGTAGTCTCGAGAGCTAAGAGCAAGAAAGAAGAAAGAAAGGATGGAAGGAAAAGAGAAAAAGAGAGAGAGAGAGAGAGGGAGAGAGAGAAAGCGAAAGAAAAAAAAGAGTATTGAAGAGAGCCTACCGTTATCAAAGAAGAATGCAAAATACTCGTCGGTCCTCGAGATCGGGTAGTAGCGGATAAGAGGTTAAAGGGTGCTGGAAGAAGGGAAATGAGCGGACGAAAAAGAGTTCCACTGCCGCGGTAAATTAACCGTTTAGAAAAGCCTTTCCTAAAGGGCATTAGCAATCTCGCTTCCTCGTGCATGAAAAAGTACGTGATCGCACGAACGCTCCGAGTAAGTTTTATCGAGCGACAAAGATCAAATTTCAAGATCTTTTTATATATAGATATATCTTAAATCTCACTGATCTGAAAAGATATCTTTTCTTGAAATAATTACGAATAAATACGATATTAATTGGCGAATCCTAAGTACAGAGACATTATATTATCCGATATTATCTTACAGAATTTCAAATAAATTATTTGCCTTTCGGAATTTTAATAAATTGGCAATTATCGTTTACGATGCATCATCAAGTGCATCGACAAATTTTTATAATTATATTCTTTGTCGTATAACGCAGAGTCCACTTACCGCTAGTTCTTAACCCTGCACGAAGACACGGAATTTCTCTGAACAATTAGTGGAAGGGTTTCTCTTTTACTCTTTTTCTTTCCCTTCCACTCTCTCTCTCTCTCTCTCTCTCTCTCTCTCTCTCTCTCTCTCTCTTTCTTCTCTTTATATCTTTCTCTTACTATTCTTCCTTTTTCCCCATTTAAATTCATTACTACTGAGAAGTAGTCAAGGTTGGTAGATGGAAATTCAAAAACAGGAGAGAAAGACGAATATAATATCGTTGTAAATGTCTAAAAATATTTAAATTGATATTAAAAAAAGCGATTCTGTAAAGATAAATAATTATTATTAATTCTTCGGTCAACATTAATCGCTAAGGATTATAATTCGATTTAAAAGTCAAGGTGATAAATTATAATTTAATTGAAAACTCATTACGTATAATCATAAATCGACTTAAAAGTCATTATGAGAAATAATAATACGATTCAATAGTCAAACAATCATAATCAATTTTATAACTCTTTAGAAATAATTATAATTCTATTGATTTCTCTTAGAATATGTACATATGTAGTATCTTTATGAAAAGCTATAATAAATTAAAGCCATAAGATCGTGCTCGATTTTCATGCACGAAGTTTAATAAAGTTAACCTGTATAAGAGTAAGTTAGTTTACTATTATTTGACCACTGCAACTCTATTCTATGATACAATATTATGTTTCCTCACTTATTCGCCGATTCAACGCTTCAACTCGACTTTCATCGTCCAAAGGATTCTTAATATTGCGTTTATGACGCAGTACCGAAAAACTTAATCGTCTTTGTAACTAAGTTAGGCCTTTATGCAATCGTTGTTACTTTCTGAAACCAACTTTTGTCACCATGCAGTAAAAGCTTCACGCATTTCCTTTCACGTAAAAGGAATTCTTTTGTA